TATTAAAGTGTCACTAGAGCTTTGTTTATGACAGTACCCCCTCAGCAGAACGGAACAACTCCTGTATTTGACAGCTGTAGAACAGAGAAAAATTGTATATTCACACTCCTGGAATACTGTGCAGAAATTAAAAAGAGTGAAACCCTGTTGAATATACCACACGGCTGACTCACAGACATAGTAAGTGAAAGATGCAAGGTGTGAAACAGTACCACCTTTGATTTTTTTTTGAGGTTCAAGAGGAAGTACAGCATATTCACATTGATAGAAGTCTGAGTACTTTCTAACCATGGGAGGAGATGCTATGAGAAGAGGCATAAATGTACCTTCTGGGGTGGTAAAAACCTCCATCTCGATTGTAGTTAACTTCATTGAACACCATGTGTGAAATTATGCTCTTTGTGTGTGTTGATCAGTTGAAAAAAAATTGAAATTGTGAGGTACCCCTTTTTTTTCTTTTCACCATGGAAACTACTCAAAATGGCCTGAAAACTTAATTTACTGATGCCTTATGTTCATGACAAGAGAAACCATCAGGATACTTTAAATTAAGAATTCTAATATTTGACAAGTCAATAAAATGCTCACTGTTCCATTATATTATTTCTGTTGCTACTCTTTTTCTTGCTGTTACAATCAACTAACATATTAAGTGCTTACTATGTGCCAGATGCTGTGCTATATTCGCACTTAATCTAGGGATGGATCTATTCCTCTTTGTGATTTCTAGATTTTAGTGCCTTTCCTCATAATCCAACAATTTAGAAGTTCATAACTTCACTTATTTTTGTTGCAGTTATTCAAGTTTACAAAGCCATTTCCCCTTTCTTCTTTTCTAAAATGCCCATCCAACTCTTTTGCCCATTTACCAAATTGTTTAAGGATCGTTAATTCCTTAACAGTTTTAGTACTTTCTCAGTTGTTTGACCTCCTGTCACATTGTCCTTCACTTTTCCTCACTCATACACCCATTCTACTAGCTTTTTCTTTTGTTTTTGGTGGAACTGGGATTTGAACTCAGGGCTTCACGCTTACAAAGGAGGTGCTCTACCACTTGAGCCACACCTCCAGCCCTTCGGATTTTTTTTTTTTTTTTTCGTGACAAGGTCTTACTATGTAGTCCTGGGTGGCTTCAAATTTGCCACCATCTTCCCTCAGCCTCTTGGGATTACAGTTGTGCACTATCATGGCTAGTTGATTTTAAGAACTCATTTTAGGGCTGGATGTATGGTGGCTTATGCCTATAATCCCAGCTACTTGGGAGATGGAGATTGGAAGGATTATGGTTCAAAGACAGCCCAGGCAAAAAGTTATTGAGAACCCATCTCAACAAAAAAGTAGTATGTGGAGGTGCATGTCTGTAATCCCAGTTATGTGGGAGGCACAGATAGGAGGATCACAGGCTTAGGCCAGCCTCAGCTAAAAGTGAGACCCTATCTGAAAAATAACTAAAGCAAAAAGAGCTGGAGGTGTGACTCAAGTGGTAGAGTGCTTACCTAGCAAGTGTGAGGTGCTGAGTTCAAAAGGCCAGTACTGTCAAAATGAAACAAACAACCCCCAACCCTGAAAAACCCAGAAAGCTTATTTTTAACATAATTAACTCATGGAAATTTGGAAAATAATTATCAGGAAGAAAAAATTACGTTGTCATAATTTAAAAATAATATCAGAAAGGAAGGAGCACTAGAATTTTATATTACAGAGCTCTTAAATATAGAGATTTTTGGTAGTGGACTTTGAACCCAGGGCTGTGTGCTTGCTAGGCAGGTGTTCTACCAGTTGAGCCATGCTCCAGTCCTTAAGTTTCAATTAAGGCAAAAATTGCAGTGAAAGATTTTAGAAAATACATATAAGTTATTGATGTTTTCACTAATTTTTCGTTGCACTTTTATCATTCCTTTTAGCATATTTGGTCTTATTAGCTTTATCTTATTACAAATAATATCCTTGATATTCTTCTGGTTTATTTTTATTTTTCTCATTGTTTTTTTGTTCAGTTTGAGTCAAGTGGATCCTTGTAGTAATACCTTTACAGCTAAAGTTTAGGAATATATAATGTTCTCCTTCAAGTAGTCATAAATCATTATTTATATAAGGGCCTACTATAATATTTCTGTAATTTCTCTTTTGATTGTTTTTACATAATGCTTTCTCCTGGTAATATATGAAAAGGAGCAAGTAAATGTTCTATGGTAATTTATCTTAAGGAGTTTCCTATGTGAGCTTTGTTAGAAGGTAAATTAATTTTAAAGATTTTTATGCTTTAAATATTTTACTTAACTCAGAACTTTTATAGATATCAAATACTTCTAATTGTTACAGTCCTGAATCATAATGTTAACTATCTTTGCTTCACTGATGTTTACTTGATGAAGTGACATCACTTCAAATGACCCTAAAATGACACTAATGGTTTACTTGCTGCTAGGACCATCATAAGAAAACAGCTGAGTAAGTTTAACCTTTCTTAGCTCAGTAAGTCAATTAAAATATCATTGTTAATACATAGTAAAAAATGAGTAGAATGTTTAAATTGTCCCCCATAAGTCTTAATTTTATTTTTTTTGACTTACCTCTAATGCTATAAAATTTTGATGTCAGCTGACAAAAATAAGAAATAAAAGGTATTTTATGTGGATAAACCTTAAATTTATAGGATTACGAATAATTTAGGAAGAATTTTTGTATATTCATATATGCGCATACGTCTGTGTCTTATCTAAGACAATTATTACAGATACTACTTAAATTAATACTTTTAATCACTAAAATTGAATTTAATATGACCAGTAACTTGTAAATGAAAAGGAATCACGATTTTCTTCCCATTCTTCCACATAAACCCACAAAGTAGAACTGAAGATCAGTAATAAAAACCACCTTAAACACATGACTTTTCATAAAACTGTAAATTGCTACTTTTCAGCCTAAGAAAGCTGAGCCCATTGGGAGGTGTCATCCTTGCATCCATGTCTTTTTCTCCTTGACACAATAGAATACCCATTGTGACATTATGTGACTAGATATGTAACTCTGGTTACTAGATAATATGTTTCTCTATGCAATCAGAAATTTCATATTCTCTATAAGCAGAAATGAAATGCCAATTGTGTGGTCTTTCTTTGCCCTTTCTCATTCCTTTCTCTTGCTCAGGCATTCAGCTAGCTAGCTAGATACAGATATTCATTTGCACATTTATTTAATAAGCATTTCTTGTGTACAAGTTGTATGCCAAACTATAAATTTGAATAAAACATGGGTCTTGCTTCCATGGATCTTACACTTTAATTGCATATGTGGTAGTTCACTTTGAAAGTGAAAGTCAAAACTATTTCCCAGACTGGAGGCATGGTTCACATGACAGAGCGCCTGCTTTGCAAGTGCAAAGCCTTGAATTCAAACCTCAGTCCCACAAAACAACAACAAAAACAACAAAACTGTTTCTCTCCTGAGGTTTAAATTCTATGTTTTTAGAAGTAAGGCTTAGATTCCTTTGTGAGGGAAGAGTTCCTTTCTAGGATGATATAAAATTCTAAGCATATGAATGGTTTTGAGTCTTTTGAAGTGAATTGGAAACGGGTGAAAGGTGTCCCTATGTGTTACACCATTTGTCACCAAGGAGTTAAATAGGCCAGAAGTATTTATCAAGAGAATTCCACAGTATTTATTGTGAAAAGTAGAATTTAGTGTTCTGTAAATCAGTAGGCATCCATTTTTGTTTATACTACTTTGGCCCTTTCCCCCTGAAGTATTTCAGTGATGCAATAAAGCAGTGGTGTGATACATGTATGTTAAGATCCCATGATTTGTTGCATTATTAGGCAAAAAAATGGTGATTTTCAGGGCAGTTTATAAACTAATAAATTACCTCATCTATAGTGCATATAGTAACTATAGAATTTTTATTGTGTATAGAAATAATAATTTTTTAATAACTATAGTAGTATATACATAGTAAGACTAAGAAAGGGAGAGGGACTTTAGCAACAAGAATACATATTTATATCTGTGGTTCTTGAGATAATGTTTTACTATTAACTGTTTGAAAGGTATGTAATTTGATTTGTATCAACTATTGAGTTATAATTACATATAATAAACTTTACCACAAAGTGTATAGTTCAGTACATTTTAATATATTTACATCATCATCATCATCATCATCCCAAAATGTAATTAATTTTTTACTTCTTTGTAAGGAAACAATACTCAAAATTGAAGTTTTTTTTTCTTAAAAAACTAACATCCATTTACAGAGTTTCTGTTGGGGATGAAAAAAATTCTGGCATTGAATTGTGAATATTAAGTATTTAAGTGACACTGAATTGCATCCTTTAAAGATGATTAAAATTGAAATTTCATATTAAATATATTTTGCCACAATAAAAAAATTAACAACCATTGTGTGAAATCAGAATTGGTGGCTGAACTTTCAATTTTTTTTGGAAATTTCATCTGAAGCACACATAATTATAATTTTTTTCTCTGAAAAATGGTATAGGAAAGATAATCTTGTTTGCTAAAAGTCATTAATCTTTTCAGCCTGAAAAATGAACATGAAAATTATTGCATATATTAATTTTTGTAGAAATTAAAGTAAACTTAAGTGAAAAGTGAAAGCAGTCAGGTTTTTTCCTTTAATTTTGCTGTCCTCTTGGAAAAAACAAGATGCTAAACACTGCAGAACCACTTGTCTAAATAGGAAAAATAAATATAATACACACATATCAATGCATATTAGTAATATAAAGTTGCTTATAGATGCATCGAAAAATCTCCAAGAGGAGATATAAGAAGCATAGTAAAGTTTGGCTTGGGTTCATGGGTGGGAATGATATTTGCCACTTTGTCTATGTATTACCAATTAAAACATTGTAAATAAGAAACTTTTCCTGATCCCAGTCTCAGAATCAGTCTAACTATGCTTCTTTCTACTTTGCTTTGCTTTGAAATTGATTTGAAAGTGAACTATATTTCTTAAGAGTTTATTTTCTTTCTAGGAATTGATTATGGATTGAGTTTACCACTTGGGGAAGACTATGAGAGGAAGAAACATAAATTAAAAGAGGAATTACGGCAAGATTATAGACGTTATCTTACTCAGGTAGGAAGTTCTATTAATGACCTGTGTCTTATGCTTCAGAATTTATCTCCTAAATTTGGGTTTGTAAAGTGTTAGTCATATGTTAATTTTCTCTGATATCTAACAAAATAATATGTCAAAGTATGTGTCATATATAACATTGATAGAAAAAAGTGGTACTGAGAACTTGTGTCATGAAATACACAGACTTTTCCTGGGGATATAGCTCAGTGATGGAATGAGTGATAGAGTGTGTAAAGCTTGGGTTTGATCCCCAACATGGGGGGGGTGGGAAATTCTTGATGTTTGGACTAGGGAAGTAAGTTCTAATTTTAAATAAGATTGTTAAATTCTGATTGTTCATGTTTTCCATAGAGTTACCATGGTTTAAAGGAGCCTACTTATGATTTCCCAGTCTTCTACTTGGTTATGTGGAATTCTAGTTGCTAATTATTTTCTTATGAATAAAGCTTAAAAATTTCATCTAATATGTTTATTGGCTACTGTCTTAGTCAGCTTTTTGTTGCTGTGATAGATACCTGAAAGAAACAGTTTAAGGGGGGAAAGATTTATTTTGGCTCACAGTTTCAGTCAATGGTCAGCTGGCTCCATTGTCCTGGGCATGTGGTGAGGGTGAAACATCATAGCCAAACAGTGTAGCAATTCAAAGTTGCTTATTTCATGGCAGCCAGGAAGCAGAGGTAGACAGAAAGGGAGCAGAGAACAAGGTATATTCACCAAGGATACTCCCCTAGCGACCTACTGTAGCAAGGCTCCACCAACTAAATTTTCAGCACCTCCCCCAATGGTTGCAACTATGGGACCCAAGGCTTCCATGCATGAGTCTATAGGAAATGTCTCATATTCAAACTGTAGCAACTTTATAAGTCTTTGCTTTAATGTTTTATCTAGCAGAACACTTATTTTAGGTCATTTTGTTAAATTGTATAATATTGAAGCTAAATATTCATTGTAAATTTTAGAATGCAGTTTATTTTTTAGATTATAAAAAAGTATTTTAAACTATCATGATGTTTCTAGTCATCCAAGACATTCTTTAGTTTTCTCACTGCTTTATCACGTTTGTTCTAAATGTACAAATGATCTCTTATTTATTATAATTTACACATGGAGAGAATGGACTTTGATACACTTTATTGATGTTGTTTGTTTTTTTTTGACTTTAGGGCATTACACAAGCAAAAAGAAAGGTAGGATTGCCTTCATAATGTTCTCTTTTAATTGTACTTTTTAAAAGCTACTGTAGCCTGCTATCTTTTGCATTTATGTGATTCAAACCAATTAGAAAAGTAAGTTCATTTGTGTTTTTGAGACTTTTGAGTAGTATCATTTTGTATCCTTGCCTTTAGCAAGATGATAATCTATGCATTATAATTTTCTATTAATCCAGTCATTGCTTATGATTCCTGCTTTGTATTTGTTGCTTTCTTATGCCTCCTTTATAAATATTCTGCAACTGTTGTAAGTCCATCTGTTTTCATTCAGCATGCTTATTTTTGTTCCCTAAATTATGCAAATCATAATCAGATTAATGGAATAATTAGAATAGTCAAGATATTTGAAAATGTTTTGCACTATATATGGTTAGGATTACTTGATAGTTTGCACCCACATCTCCCAATTGCATTTGGTTTTGTTTGTTTGCTTTGTTTTCTTTTTCATTTTATTTTTTGTTATTATTGTTGTGCTGGGGATACATTGTAGCATTTAAAAAAGTGCTTACAATGTATCTTAGTTAAATTCACTCCCCCATCATTCTCTTTCCCCCATTCTTAGAATAGTTTCAACAGGTCTCATTTTTCCATTTTCATAAATGAGTACATAAAATTTCCACCCTATTCGTCTTCCTATACCCTTTCCTTGTATCCTCCTCTCTCCTACTGGTACCAACTCCCAGACAGGACCTCTTTTATCTTCCTGACCTCCATTTTTGAAAAAAGACATTGTTGTTTAAGATATCTATATAGAGTTTCATTATGAGATTTCCATACATATATTGGTTCTTCTCTAATTTTCTCCTTTCTTAGTCCTTTTCTTACAGTGATTTCAACAGGTTTAAAAATTCTGTATTTATTCTTGTATAGAAAGTACATCAACCATATTCACTTTCTTTACTTCGTTCTTTTACCCTGCCCTTCCCATGAGTACCCTTCTCTTTAGTGTGATCTGTTTTTCATTCTTGTTCTTCGTTGTTTAGGTGTCTGTTCATCCCAATTACATTTGTAAGTTTATATTGGAAAACATCAGGGAGATAAATCAGTTATGGATCTTGGCTTCAAGAGGTTTAGAATCTAGTTGGGGAGATAATATATTTTAGGTTTACCAGCTGATCAAATATGATTCTTCTGAGAGTACTGGGAAATTATGATGTAGATAGATCGGATCAGATTAGAAGACAGTCAATTTTTAATTTATGTGTGATAGGCAGTGGTGGAACAGTATACTTCCTTAAGTAGCTTGTGAAGAGCCTGATAACTGTTTTAGAACAGTGCTCTCATCTTACTGTCTTAAATTACTGCTATACCTTCTTAACTAATCTCATTGCACTAATTCTCAGTTTATTTTTCATGCCACCTTAAAGAATGATCCTGTCTCTAATTGATTTAGATCTAGAATTGCACAAAGTGCAAATGTATTAAACATAGAAATGTGTCTTGGGCAGTAGCAAGATAGGACCACTGTACTCTAGGGCAAGAGGAGAGTTTATATGCTAAGCTAGACACAGGTGGATTATGACCAACCAAAGTGTACCTAACCTTTCTTAAAAATGATTAAAATGTCCAATGTCAGATATACAGTGTGGCATTGGTGGCCAGCATAGCACATTTGGCTTGCTACTTTAATAACTTTGTTCTGTTCAGCTTGGGATGTATGTTAGGGTCACCTGATGGGCAAAATGGCGGTTAAAACCAAGATGGCTGCAGTCATGTCAAGCTGGCTCCCTACAGTAGGCATAAAAAGATATGCCTTTATTAACGTGAAAGAGGTCACTGGAGCACAAGTCTTTACATTTAAAGGAAAGTGAAGGAGTGTGTGTGTGTGTGTGTGTGTGTGTGTGTGTGATGAATTATTGACAATATGGTTATGGTAGAGGAGTGGTATTTCCTTAAAGTGAAATAGACATTCTTTGGATGGTAGCTGAGAAGTGGGAATTGAAAGGCAAACAAGAAAATTATATAGAATATGAAGCTATAGCTTCCTGGACCCCTGGAGTATATGTAGTTTCCCAGTCCATTCCTGAATCATTTGTGGCATTTTAACTTTTAGATGACGTGAATACTTAAAATTTAAAAGATTGAATCTTTTAAGTTTGCCAAGAAAAGTCACTAGGACAAATTCTGTCTTCTTTCTGTGTTCTAGAATAAAGGATTCTTGACTGTCTAACAGTGTAGAAAGAGCATATTCTCAGAGGAGTGTTTTTTTTTTTTAAATTGAATCATTAAATTAATATCACTAGCCCAGAATTTCTGTCTGAAACCTCAGACTTTTCTGTCTGGCTCCCTGCTTGATGTTTTCACTTAGAAATCTTACTAGTATTTTACATGTTAAGAAATCTTATAACATGTCCAAAAGGGAACTTCTGATTTCCATTCTTCCCACTCTCATCTCTAAGAAGCCTGACCTGTCTGTAGCTTGTTCTTTTTATTATTTTTTGATCACTGCAATTATGGCCTGCTAACATATTGAGTCCCAAATGGATTGGGCATATGATAGGTACTCAATATTTACTGAATGAATAAGGGAATTAACTAAAATTCAAGTTTTAATAAGGCTATGTTGTCCTTATTGTTTATTTTTTCATTTTTGAAAATTTCAAAGTATCCTAGACCTGTTTTGGAAGTGAGGAATTGCTCAATGACAAATAAGGATTTATAGTTATCTTCTGAGAGTTGGAATTCTGAACAATCTTTCTGTTTCATTTATAATTCTATAAAGTGATTAGATTTTTAGTGTGCTTTGATATATAGGGGGTAAACAGCCTTAAGGATCTAGTTGTGTATCTTGTTTCCTTTGGCAAACAAGCTTACTAAAGTTTTATACAACCAACTTTCAAATTAGCTTTTGTATAGCACAACTAATTTGGAAATTTGGATTTAATGAAACTTTGTTTTATTAATCACTCTGTTCTCATATATTTGATGTTTTGAATATAGTGTTATCGTAGCAGATAGTACATTGTATGTAGTTACTTGTTTATATATCTGTTTTGCTAACTGGATTATAAATCTCTTGAATAGACGGAACAGAGGCTTATTGTCTCCCTATCACTTTAAAAAGTATCTGGAAGGTATTAGATGGTTGATAATTCATTGGTTAATGAATAAAAGCAGGGATCTAGACAAGTGAAGTATTGATTAATTTGATCTTCATAATTTAGTGATACCAATGATAGTGTCCCAATTTTACAGATGAAGATGCTGAGGCAGAGAAGTCAAGCAACTTGTTTCAGCTGTTTTAACTACTAGGTAGAAGTACCAGAAAGTACTTGGGAATGCATATAGTTTTTACTATCCATTGTATTTACTTTATAGTGCTCAAAGAGATTTTACATTTTTATTCTCTTGATTCTTATGCCAGCTTTGGTAGGTAGGCAAAGCAGGTATCGTTCTCATTTTATGATAGAAAGTGTATCAGAGAAGGGGTTAGCTGTAGAGCCTAACTCTTTTGACTCCCAGTCTAATGCTGTACTATATTACCTCACTTAAATGCTTAATGAATGTGAATGGAGTGACATATAAAGAAACAGCATTTGTTGTTTATGTCTTTTGGCATTTGAGTAGATATTTGCGTATATAATTGTAGGAAAAACAGAAGAAAACCCTTGTGGGCATAATGTTATTTGTGTAGCTAAAATTTTGCTTTAAGTATAAAGAACACTGGAGTACTGAGAATGAAGGATGTATGTTTAGAAGAGGAATATAAATTGGAAAAGTTTGCTTTTTTAACCATCACAAATCAGTAGATATATAATGTTTTAAAAAATGAAAATTAATGCCTGAGTTTCCCTTTCAGGGAATTGTGAATTGGAAGAAAATTCTCTTTCTCTCGCTCTTTTTTTTTCTAGTAACTTTTGTCATGTTCTCTAGGCTTGCAATTTCTGTCTTCTTCTCTGTTTCATTTTTTGTTCTGTAAAGTGTAATGGTTTTAAATATAGAATGTGAAAACTTTTCTGAAATATTTTATAAAGGCATTTAGCTAATTTTTTAAAATGTGTATATATACAGAAAAATTTTCTATCCACGGGTGAAATTGACCCATCTACTCTGGGAGTTTCTCTTCCTATTGGTGAGAGGTTATCTGCCAAGGTATGTGAATAGTATTAGTTATTATATCAGTTTCCTGAGGCATCAAAATCAGTCTGGAGTCTGGGATTCCCTTCTTTAACCTGGGGAAGGAAATGGTCAGAAGCAGGTGGAGTGAGTTGGGGGATTAGGGCAGGGAGATATCCCTGAAAAGGAATAAAGGGAGGCAGCTGGATCATACTTCCTTGGAATCATGCTAATGATAGACCCCTGGCAAACACATTTATCGTGTTTACTAGCTAGAGAGATTTATCTATGAAAGCTTTTGGCCAAATTCAACTGGTTTGTTTTGGATTGGTGTTTGTAAACAAATCTGGAATCTATGGGTTTATGGGGCATAGCTTTTTGGAAAATACCATCTTCACTGAAATATAAAGTGGAGCTGTTTCATTGCTGGAGCAGCTCCCTTCTGTTAGAGACCTCATGTGTTAATGGGCCAAAGCACACAACCATGCACGTTCTCATGTGGCAAGAGAAACCTGGGGAACTGCATTGGTTGTCAGATCTTTTCCTGTTCATTGCCGTGACTTCTATCCTTGAAACTATTAGTGAAGCTTGAATCTGAGTAAGAGCTTTGATTTAGATTCTTCTGATTTGACATTAAGGTACTTTAATGTAAACTGAAGTTAACATTGCTTTTTGATTTCTATTTTAAGGAAAGGTTAAAACTTGAACGCAACAAAGAATACAATCAGTTTCTCAAGGGTAAGGAAGAATCCACTGAAAAAGTCAGGCAGGTAGAAAAGAGTACTGAGGTAGGTTTCACTTTTAAAGCAATTTTAATACCACAGGCTGAATATTTTGTACTTACGAAGCTTTTTATATTTATGTGTTTCACTATTTTTTGGTTTGTTTTTTGTTTTATTTTACTCTATTTATTTATTTATTTTTTTGAGACTGTGGTTCAGACTGGCCTAAAACTCACTACCTCAGTCTCCATAGTGCCAGGACTGAAGGCCTGCACCACCATGCCAGGCATTCTACTTGGTTTTTATGTAAACATTTGAAAAAGTAAGCCAAGTTAAACCAACCATAGGACAGTTAAATACTTAGTTTTGAAAATTGTTTTATCTCATATTGAAGAACTTGTCCTACCTTTTAAAATTTAACCTCACTTGGGAGATTTAATTTTAGAGATCAAGTGATTTTTGTATATTTTTAATATTAACAATTTAAGTGATTTTTGTATATTTTTAATATTAACAATTTATATATGTGTATGTGATATATATAATATGCATATATATCACATATATGTGTATATATATAATGCATATATATCACATATATGTGTATATATATATATGTGTGTGTATATATATAGATATATTATTGATGTTACTAGGGTCAGAAGTTTACCACTGTCTTCAATCTTTGTGTTAAGGAACAATGTAATTTGAAATATTTTGATTGTGTGAGTGCTAAAATGTATCTGATATGTCCTGGGAAAGGAATATGCATTTAATCTATTTTCTGTTTTTATAGACTCTTTACCCATTTTACTGTTGCCTGTCTACTATATTTAATAAGTTTTATCTCAAGCCAAAGTTTTCTTGATTTTTTTTTTCTAAAGAAAACATATTTCTTATGGGTGGTTAAATGTCAGAGTTGAGATAAATAGACTAAGTATGAGTTCAGGCTTTAATTACCTTTTAAGTGATAGTATCTTATTAAGATTTGTTTCCTTTTTCATTGAACAGCCTAGGAGTCAAAGAAATAAGAATCCTGTTAGTCAAGCTAAACCTGACTTATCTTCACAAATACAAACATCTTGCGCAAAGTCAGAGGGCCATAGGAGAGATGTTCTAACTCCTTCAGAGGCATATGAAGAGCTTTTAAACCAAAGACGGCTAGAGGAGGACAGATACCGACAACTAGATGATGAAATTGAATTAAGGAACAGAAGAATTGCTAATAAAACGAATGAAGAAGTAGGACTATCCAATACAAAACACCAAAGGTTTGCCAACAAGGCTGGTGTTCCAGAAAGAAGATTTCGCAGGTTTGATGAGGATCCTGTTTTTGACAGACAGCATTGTAGAACAGACCAAGATCCTGAAGTAAGTGAAGAAATGGACGAGAGGTTTAGATATGAAAGTGATTTTGATAGAAGACTTTTGAGAGTATATACAAATGACAGGTATTTACAACTTCATTTTTATTTTCTTTATTTACTTAATATTGCTGTTGTTACTTTTCATGATTGTATTAGGAGGAAGCAGTTTCATTTGGTTTACCCTGTTTGGTTAATTTTAAGTTACTATTAGTTTTCTGAAGCACCATTTTATGTGCCACTGAGGGGAAAAAAGAAAACATACAAGAGGGAGACCCCACTGTAAAGCTGGAAAACTGAAGCCAATACTGTTAATGTAAAAGTAAATGGGAAATAAACATTACACAGAAAGAAAAATTCCATGTCTTAACCTTGGCATTGAGTAGAAAACCCAAAATATTCTCCGGGAATTTGAAGTGTAAAGCAGTATTGATTCATATTCATTTTGAATTTATGCTGCCAGTAAGTAGTGTCCATAAAACTCCCAAGACAAGAACTCAGAGTTGTCTTGATTCATAGTATCCCAATATGACTGGCTGGGATAAAATAACTCCACTCTGCAGTAACTTGACTTAAAACCAGGTCAATGGCCATCTCACAGATGTTAAGACAGGGAAAAAGAACACCTTAACATAGATAAAACTACAGTTTATCCTCTAATGTTCATATACTCTTCAGTATCTTTAGCAATATATTTGTTTTAAACTTACTTATTGAATATTTATTTAAGTGAAATGGCATTACTTTTTTTTTTTTGGTAGTACTGGAGTTTGAACTTAGGGCTTCATGTTTGCTAGGTCGGTGCTCTGCTGCTTGAACCATGCCTCCAGCCCTTTTTTACTATGGTTATTTTGGACATAGGGTCTCACTCACTTTTTGCCCAGATGGGCCTGGACAGCAATCCTATTTTATCCTTCCTGTCATAGCTGGGTTAAAAGGTACATTCCACCATACCTAACATTTTCCCATTGAAATGAAGTCTTGCGAACTTTTTGCCCAGGCTGATCTGAAACCGTGATCCTCCAGATCTCAGACTCCCAAGTAGGTAGGATTTACAGGTGTGAGCCAAGGCCACCAAGCTGACATTACTTCTTTTTTTTTTTTTTTTTTTAGAAGATTTTCAGATGCGTTTCAGTTCTTTCGAATGATTACTTTTGTGACACTATTTGTAATTTCTTAACTACTACAAAAGGTCTTACTGTCATTTATCTGTAAGCTTGCCATATGTTTACTTAACTTTTGCTTTAGAGATAGAAATATCACAGGGTCCCCTATTTGTCATTATTTGGCTGACTTGAAAGGGTTAAATCTAAATTTTGAACAGCAAACCCAAATAGTTTACTTTTTTCGTATTTTAGAAAATTTTCTCAGGGGTAATACTGCATATTCAGTATTATTATTATTACTTATACCAATACAAAGCTTTTACAGTTTTTTTCTTCTACTCTTTACTTTGCAGCTGTTACTTCCTGCTCACACAATATTTTTAATATTCATCCTAATTTAGGTAATTTGAGTGACAGATTAGAAATTTGGAATCCTCGTAGTTTCTTTGATCTGAATCTAATTGTTTGCACTTAAGGAAATGCTTCAAAGCCTATAATGTTTTACATTGAAAATACTTATGTGTAAAGGTAGTCAAACCCAGTCTTAACTAAAAGAACTCTCAATTGAGGAACTGCAGGTAATCTTGGAATCTTGGTGATGTCTTCTCTGTATATGATAACTTTTTCCCTTATTTGTACATGACACTGCTTACCTTTAGAGTATAATGTAAACATGCGTTTTTAAGTCTGGGATTTTAAGAAACATGATCATGGCTATTTTTTGTATGTTTTAATTTTTTAAATAATTATACCCTGTGATAATTTTATATATGATCTAACAAATGAATTCCAGCCTAATAATTTTAGAACCATCTTATTTTTCATGTATCCAAGAAATTAAGGGAACTTATGTCAACTTCCACAAATAGTATTTTGAGACTAGAGTAAACATGAGGTTTACTCGAGAACTTACGTATAACCACTTTAGAGTATTTCTTTGAAATTTAAATCATGTTGCTTCCATTTTGTTAATGTATCAACTCTTATTTCGCCAAATGCTAAGGCATTTTACAAGTGTCTTGATGGTAATTGAGGTTATTTCTAGGCTCCTTTTATAAAAAAAGATTTTACACCAGTCATTCAGTAGTTTATATTTAATAGGCAGAATAGGTAGGAAATTTTGAGACTAAAGTACAAAATTAAGTTTTCCTTGTTCTTTTTTTCCTCTTCCTAAAGTCAGTCTGTGATACAAATTTTACTTTTATACTGATGTTTTATTTTTATAGTTTTGTTCTCAGTTTCTCTCTACTCTATAAACTTTATGTACACCATAATGTATTATGAATGAAATATTTTTCCCATTTGAAAGACGAGAAAATGAAAAAATTTCAAGAAATGTTACTTTCCAAGCACACATAAAAATCACTGGCAGTGTTCTTAAATAATTAACTTGGTGGTTAGCACTGTGATTGACAATTGTATTCTGTGTGTGTATGTGTATCACTTATACATATTTACTAATTTGGGTAAAATTTATGCTGTTTTAGGAGCTTTCTAAAGTCAAATGCAGTAGTGTATCTTATGATACTTTGAAATTTACAGACTGTTGTCATCCTGGTCTTTATTATCTTGATCTGTAGAAGTTAATATATTACCTTATTATGTTTTACTTTAATGTTAATGAGTAAAAGAAGATTGTAGCATTAAAATTTTTTTTAGTTTCTACTGTATTAATGTGGTTAGCATTTCAGTTTATATGTTGCTACTTGGTAGTTTAGTAGTCATTTAATAAAATTCTGAAATAACACTTCATCTGAAATTGGAATTTGTGTTAGCCACAGAGATTTAGTGCTTACTTAGTGTAGAACACTCTTCTGAGCTTAATGTGTTGTAAGATAACTGGGGAGAAATGCCTTATTACAATATTACTTAGTTTGGATTTTTCTTTAGTAGTTAATTTTTATTATCTTAAATTTGGTTTCTAGTTTATGCCAGGATTCTTTGGGCATTAAGATTTTTACCTCATTTACTAGAGTTGTTGATCCATATCTTAAAGGAAACATTAGAGAGGAAGAAAGTGTGTGTGTGTGTGTGTGTGTGTTAGTAGGATGGTAAAACCATTTTGCAGTTATCTCATTTCTTAAATCATATTCCGATTTGCATATAAAAGCAAGCAAATATCTTTTATAAAAAGATATTTATATTTATTGGGGTTTGTCTCCCTTTCTGACAAACCCCAGTAGGTTGAGGTGTGATAAGTGAATTTATGCATTTAAAACCCTAGAATATTTAGGTTACAGGTGACGTCTGGATAGTCTTAATTTGATACTAGCTCTAAAGCTATAGCTCAGGGACAAACAGAACCCATGCCAAGATCCTGAACTTTGATTAGAATCTGGTTGTTCTTAGACGTTTTGTAAATGCATTACTCTTGGACGTTATCATTAAGGACTGACCCTTTGGGTTGAGAGGATTGACCAGAGAAATAGCAATGGTAAAACCACTGCTAAATCTCATTGATTCCTTTTTTCAGAGAGCTTTATATTTGCCTCAGAAAAGGTTTCTAAAATAAGTTGTAAAGCCACCATGGAAGTTATTAATGTAAACTAACAGGGATAATTAAGAGTGACTAAATTCTAAATTTATTAGATGGAAGCTTGGGGAAAGTTTGTTTATTAAAGTTTATTTAGTAAATGGAGCAAACTCCATACGTAAACTTGTATGGATTATTTTTTATAGAGAATTAGGTGGCTAGGGCTAGAGGTGAATTTCAGTGCAACAGTGCTTACCTCGCATGAATGAGGCCCTGGGTTTCATCCCAGTACCACTGTACATACATACATACATAAGTGTTTGTATGTATGTATGTATATAAATTCAACATAACTAGTAAGGTCTAACTAGCCTAACCCTATGTTCATTTAAAAAAAGAAAAGGTGACTAACTTTCCAAACTATTATTTGGTTTTACAGCTTAAAGTCTCTTGTAGTATTTTTTTGAAAAGGTCTTATTAGTAACTTTAAAAAATTTTGGAATCTATTTGTAAATAGTATTTCTTCCTTAATTTAAAAAAGAAAACACAATCATGTTAGTGTTTCATAAAATTGAATAGAATGCCTTAAGATTTTTTTTTTAGTAAAATACATATTTCTGTTCTTTTTTTCTTGGCCTCTGAAAACATTTTCTCATTATTGGTTTTATTGTAATTATCAATGATAGAATTGAATTAAAATCTTGTTAATGAGTTTCTTGAGTTCACTGGAAGGCACACCTTACACCATCTTTCATATGGACTGTTCACTGGGAAATCTTTGTAGTTTTACTATAGATTTTAGCAGAGACCTTAATCTGGTACATAAATAAAATTATTTGTTAAATTCTTTTTAAAGAGAAAGAGAATAGTTTTATTATTGAAAAGGCATCCAATTGGAATGTGATTTGTTAGATTTTTTGAGTTTAGTATGAACTTTGAAAATGATCACTTGAGCATATGGTGCTTGCTTTTTCAAGGTATCTATATATGCTCAAGAACCTGTGAAACATTTTACTGTGTATACTTTGGAAATAGCTGAATAGAGAAAGCTAGAATTGTAAACCTAAATGTTGCCTTTAGACAACTCAACTGAAACAGGAAGCCACATGTTCTTGGATAAGTTTTAGAACAAATTTTTATATGTCTTAATGGCCTTTAATTCTGGGATCCCAGTTATGCTTTAAATAACTTGCAACTAAATTTTTTCTCAGTGTTTAAAAATTTTCCCTGGTAAAGATACCTCTTTACTACATCAGTTAATTTACTTTTGTGTGTTGTGTCATGGGTTCTCAAGGTGACTCCCATGTTTGGTAATTATCTAGGAAGACTCACAGGACTTTATGTATAGCTGTGATGTATTGCAGCAAAAAGATACAAAGGAAAGTCAGTGAAGGGAAAAGCTGGATGGGACATAGTCAGAAGGAAGCCAGACACTAGTTTTCAAGAGTCCAGTAAAGATGTACAGGAGATGCTTAATTTCTCTAGCATTTAATTGTGACAAAATGGGGAAATGTCTACCAGAAAGCTCATTACTGAGTCCCAAGGTTTTTATTGAGGGCTGATAATGTAGACACCCCTTTCCTAGCTTGTACGAAAATTCCAGAATCCCTAAAATAAAGCAGGTATTTCAGTATGGACTATATTATTTGTGCAAATAGTTTAGGAACAGTGAGTCTGGAGTTACTAGTTCTGGGAAGGGTGGGAACCTTCCTAAAACCTGTGTTCTTGAAAGTGCCAGCCAGGGCTGCTTGTATGAGCATCCCTTTGTAAGGATAGGCATTCTTAGGCCTACCCTGTTAAATATTCGGCATAGGTAGATTTGTATAGATCCAGCGTAACCAAATTTGGTTGCCTGGTATTGTCAACTACACATTTGAATGTAAGCATTTAAATGGTAGAAATAGAAAATAACTCTAAATTGATTTGTCAGTTTAAAAGAGGTTTGAGCATCTAGGCTTTAGGTTAGGTAAATCAGTTTTTTTCTTTCTTCTTTTTTTTTTTTTTTTTTTTGATAAATTGAAGTAAAATTTAAAAGGGCCTGTGGAAGGTTCTGTGTTAGATACGGATAAAAAATGGAAGCCATCAACAAATCATACCAAGTCATAGTTCTTAAGATTGAAATTCAAACAGGTTTTTTTCTCTACAGATTATTGGCCATAGCTTGTGTGATGAAAACAAGTGAAGAAAGAATCTTAATGCTGGTTTTATGGAGAATGAGAAGTTCCTTTCTTTTCAAACTAAAAATTACCAGTCTTATTAATCTGATAATGAAATTCATCTTAAATATTTAGTAATACTTTAACAACCACATTTTTTTCTATTAGTCCTCTTGAAAAAGACAATATATTTTTAGCAGTTACATTGAAATATGACTTCATGGATGCTGACAAATTATGTAAAAATTCATGTTGGTTTCTCTGGTGTGAGAAATTTTTAAAATTTTATTTATCTTTTTTTCTAATTGTTGTACTGGGGGTATATTGTGACATTTACCAAAGTTCTTATAATACAGTATAGTTGAATTAACCTTCTCCATCATTCTCCTTTATCCGTTGGGGAAGGGTGGGAGAGGGGAGCAGGGTGGAGAAATGAACCAAACAATGTATGCACATGTGAATAAGTGAACAACAACAAAAATAAAATAAAATAGAGATCTTCCACCCCTCACCCCCCAAAAAATCAGTGTTTGCCAAATGGAAAAAAATTTAATCAAAAACATTTTTCATTATTTTCTAAAGGAAGAAAAAGACCCTTTTCATCTTTCTTATTTTTTCTTATGACCTTGTAAATAAAATGAGTTCATTGTTTTCTACCCATGTATCAGCCTATTATGTTTTCCATTGAGCTTTTAGTAACATTTATTCTTTCACGTGATTTATAGTGTTAGCAAATGTCATGGCTTCAATGTTTAATGGTAAAGACTGCTGTTACATATTTATGTTAAAATGCTTTGTATGCAGTGAAATACTTCCCAGAATCTATGAATTTTGACCTAAAAAGCAATCCAATTTTGAATTGTGATGATAATCTTCATAAGTGCAGGAGCTATACATATCCGGTGCTTAGAATAATACTTGGCATGCTCTACTATTGACTTATTAAGTGAATAGTAAAATGTCTTAGTATATTAACTTAATTTTAGTGTACATGAATAATGCATAATGTAATGAATATGTATATTTGTTTTCTTTTGGTTTTGTTTTTGTTTTAAGACAGGGTCTTGTTATGCAGTCCAGGCTGGCCTTGAACTCAAGGTCCTTCTTCCCTTAGTCTCCTGAGTTCTGGGATTGCAGGCATACATCACCATGCCCATTCTTAAAAATATATTTAAACTTTGTATTTTTGAAATGAGAAATTTAAAAAAGTTATATTGAAATAACTTACAATAACCTCCTTTAAAAAACATAAGACTGGGAGGGGGCTGGGGCAAGTATGTGTAAGGCCTTGGATTTTTTCCCTAACGCTGGAAAATATTAAATCTAAACTTTCAGTATCTATTATCAACCAGCAGATCATACTTAAAAATACCTCATTTGAATTAATTTTAGAATGTGTTTACAGTCAGATGTCATTGTAACACTTTGTTCTCTTCAATGTTTCCAACACCAAATGTTAAAACCCAAAGAGCAATAAGAAGGTCCACTATGTGGAACATGCTTTGTAAGCTAATGTGTTTTTAAGGATGCATGGAAACAGACGAGGGTACGTGCCTCCTATGGAGAATGATGGTGATGTCACAGAACAGTCAAACATACGAATTTCATCTGCTGCAAATAAAAGGTATAGTATGTGATGTAAATTCTGCCCTTGAGTCACTGCACTGTGAAATAGCACATACCTAAAATTGGCTTACTGAAAAAGTAGAAAGGTATAGTGTATTAATAGCCTCCCTTGCCTAGGAAGAAATGAATTAAAAGGGGGAAAAAAGAGGTGAGGAGATAGTAGTAAATGAAAATTTATAGTCCTTTACAGAATTCTTTTTAAAAATTTTTTATTTTTCTTGGTGTTGGGGATAGAAGCCAGGGCCTTGCACATGCTAGACAACAAGTACTCTATCACTTGCTTACACCTCCAGCCTTACATTATTCTTTTGAAGAACAAGTTTTTGGTTATAAACCTTGCCAAGGTATTCTGAATAAGTCTCTACCATTATAAAGTACATCAGGTTGTTTGAAATAATGATAGCAGAAATAACACATTATTTAATGGACTGATAATCAATTTAAAATATCTTGGAGTTAAGCTGCATAGAGAATGTTCCTGCAGTGTAAATTTTTCTTTCAAAACATTACTTTGAATTTAACCTTATCTAGTAGTTAGATTATGTGCTTACTTTGTATAATTAGTGTGCATATGTTTCTGTCTATAGAATAGACAGGAAATAACTGTTTATAGTTTTCATTGTTTTGGTGTCTTTCCTTGTGTCATATATAAGAATAAATGGTTCTAAAAAAAGGACATGAAAGTAGAAATGAACTATTAGGGAAGAGGAAGAGCTTATGGGGTTGAATATGATTAAAGTGTGTTATATGTTATATGTATGAAAATTTCATAGTGAAACTCATTTTGTACAATTAACATACACTAAAAAGAATAAATAGTCCTATAGTTTATAATGAACATAATATGGTCATAGGTCAAAAACAGTATCTATGTAAAGAAATATAATGTATAAACAATGCTTATAATGAGTTTGCTGTTGGATTCTAATTAAGTTTTCTTTTTTTTATCTTGTTCCTATCTTTCAAGGAAAGGTTTTAGGGTTAATCTTATTTTTTTTCCAAGTGTATATATGGGTTATACTTTCTCTCTCTTTCTCTCTTTAGGATTTGTGTGCCCTTATTGTCATTTTCCTTCCTGGGTATCTTATAAAAAAGATAAATTTATTGAACCTGTGGAACCAGTGAAGCAAGCTAAAGAGAAAAGTTATATTTTATATAGCCTGAATATATTAGAGTCCTACTATACAAAAAAATGAAATGCCATGATTTCACCTTAACTTTAGAAATATATAAATTTTATAGTGACGTAGCACTTTGAAGGGCCAATAACTCATATCTACATTTTCCTCTGAATTTTTGCTTCCGAAAACTATCTGCATTTTAATATTCTCTTTCTCTTTTAGTGTTCGAGGCAATGAGGCATCCAAATCTACTAATCGAGATACCTGTAGTCCTTTTGCAGGGATGATCTTTGGTGTGTATAAGATTTGCAATTGATTAGATTTCTGCAGAGTGTTGTATAGAGAGAACTCATTGTTATAAATACTACTACTGTATTTACTAATAATAGAAAACATTTATTGAGTGCTTTATGATTGGTAACTGCTAAGCATTTGACAAGCATTGTATAGTTCAATTTTAAAGCTAATTAGCTTAGTGACGTGCTCTTTACAGACGATAAATGAAATATTAGTTTTAGTAGTAGGATTTTAATTTATTTTATTAGCACTTGGTATAATGTGGATGATTGTTTTTATTGTATTTTATATGTCATGTTTTATTTCGTACATTCTCGTTTCTTCTATCGCAAAATTGCCTTGCATTTTAGTTTGGGACTTGTAGAAACTCTATATCTTACTTTAGTCCACACATGGCCTTTAAAAATTCAGTGAAGTTTCAGCCATTTTCTTCTTACCTGATTTTAGGGTGACTGCCTCTTTCTCCATACTCTGCTAATCTCAGAATACTCATATTGTTCCAACTCTGCATGGATTATTTTTTTACCCTTTGGTGTTCAGTTCATCCGGGTGCTTACAATTCTGGCTCTTTGATGAGCTTTTAAGAAGTTGTGATTTTGTAGGTGATTGAGCCTTTTCTCATTATGTGGTCAGACAGTGTTCTTTTGTGGCTTTCTATCTTCTAAGCAGAAGCAAAATTTTCTTTTGGTTCTTCAAAATGACTTCCATTTTCTTCCTCATTACATTCCTATTTTCAGTTAAGTACTTAGGTATATATATAATAGCTGTGTTAACATCCTTGTCTGTTCCATCTTCTGTTATTTATGTGCTTTTTTCAGCCCTATTGATTAACTTTCTACTGGTTATGGGTTAGTTGCTGTGTTAGTTTTGTTTTGAAAGTGGGTGACTCAAAACAATCATTTCAGTTTCTTTGCGTCAGGAGACTGGGCATGGCTTAATTAGCTCATAGCTTCAAAGAGCCATAATTCAGGTGTCAGCCTGTTTTTCATTTGAAGTGTTCAGTGGGGAAGAATCTGCTTCCATAGCTCATTCAGGTTTGTAGCAGAATTTGTTTCTTTTGACTCTGAAGTCCTCACTTCCCCTCCCCCCACTGGATGCCCACTGAAGGCTGCCCACAGTTAGGTCATCTGCTGTTCCCTCACCATGGCTGCTTCCCTTATAATGCTAGCAAGGATAATTTCTCAACTCAAGGAAGGCCCATTTCCTCCTTTAAGAGCTTCCACCTGGCTATAGCAGACCCACCCAAGATAATCTCCTCTTTGATTATTCCAAACTTCAGTGATTTGGCATCTTAATTATATCTGCAAATTTATTTCCATAGTATACTGTATAGAAGCAAGTCACAGGTGCCACCCACCACATTCAAGGGTAGGGAATTATGCAAGGAGTCAACACAAGGGGCAGATAGCATAAGAACTTGGGGTCTCTTTTTTTGAGACAGGATCTTGCCGTGTAGCCTAGACTGGCCTCAAACTTGCCCTTTAGCCCAGAATGGCCTTGAACTTGTGATCCTCCTGCCTCAGCCTCCTGAGTGCTGGAAGTAAGTGTAACACCATGCCCGGCTTTAGGCCTGTTTTTAAAGCTTAGCTAGGAACATGTAAAGTCTTAATTACTGGGGATAGTTTAGCCTTAATATTGTACAGTGACCTTTCTGGGGATGGTTTTCCCTGAAAACCCTGCAGATCACCAAAAACTATACTGGCTGGCCAGAACTTGAATTTCTCTTCTTTGTTTCAGGTCTGTTCAGTTTATGTATCCTTTTTATGTATCCACAACTGAATGGAATTTCAGTTTGTGAGTGTACATACTAGGACACAGCAAAGTTGAAAGTATATGCTTACTTTTGGATCTTTGTTCCACAGCTTTGAGCAATTCAATTTTAGCCTTCTAAAGTTTTGATCTTTCCTTACTTTAGTGTGTGTGTGTGTGTGTGTTGCTGGGAATTGACAGCGCCTTGCAAATGCTAAGCAAGCGATTTAGCACTGAGCTACACATGTAGCCCCTCTTTACTTACCTCCTGGCTTTACTCAGTTTCCTGGCTCTGTTTGGGGTTTCTTTCCCTGTGCACATATTCTAGAAATCCCAGTTTGGGCAGAAACTGGGATGATTATAGTGCTTACCTAATTTATTTGTCTTCTTTCAGGCATTACAATCTTGGGCTACCTGTTGTCTGGAGTCTAGTTATTTTAAGTATCTTGCTCAGTGGGAGTTAAGTCCTATTTTTGTTTTTCCATCATGGTCAGAAGTAGAATGGAAGTCTATGTTGGTTATAAACATTGCTATTAGCTATAATATAATTCATGTTCCTCCTCTGGGGGCTTCATTGTTAGTGACATTTATGCTTACTGAGAAAACTGAGATGCTTTGTACCCAACTAACAGTTGGGAGACCAATAATTAAGACAAAGGACAAATTACTGGTTCAGTTGCATTTTGATATCCTATGATTTATGTACTGTTTAGATTGTGCATTTCTAGATTTAGAGCTTATTTTTGGCACTAACTTATGCAATAATAATAATCTTGCCTGGATCCAAAAGCTTTACTCAATTGGATTTTGACATAAGTGATACCAGGGTGAGAGGTTTATATATATATTTTTTCTGCATTATTGAGGTAGCTATTGACATTTTTTCATAGGCTGCCAGTGTGATTTGTGTTGTATTTTAAGACAGTTAATCTTAAGTGTGCTTGGGTGTACTGAAATAGGGTGAAGGGAATTGGGGAGAGTAGTTAGGATGTTATTGCTACAATCCAAGTGAAATGCAGAAATGATGTATTCAAGGTTACTGATTCTCAGATAGGTGGGTCCTCATATAAGTGAACAATGGCAGATAAATAAGCAGTTATAGTGAGGTGTTGAGACTCCATTATGGGGGCCATTGGAAGAAAACAAAGAGGTGGTTGGTTTCGAGAGGTCCATTTTGGATGGACACTTATTAAATTTAAGAAGTTTATAGAACGTATTAAGTGAAAATATTAACCAGATTCTTGGAAAAATGGGGATGGGGATTAGAACATTCTGTGATTTAGGAAAGCTTTTGATTAAAGGTAGACTGCGGAATTACTAATGTGTATTACTTTCGACACATGATAGGAACCTTCTATATTTCTTGCATGTTCAATAATTATTCTGATATAATTAAAGTGAAGTTTTAAAACTTGAGTATTAGTTGTATGTGCTGCATAAGAGTTTAAGACTGCATTTGTTTCTTACTGTTCTCCAGGAGGTGAAGATCGAGAACTTATTCAGAAAAGGAAAGAGAAATACAGACTAGAGCTATTGGAACAAATGGCTGAGCAGCAGAAAAACAAGAGACGGTAATGAAAGGTTTGCATTTAACACAAATGTTTTGATTTGAAATACACTTATATAAAGTGACATGATGAGGAAATATAAGGATGCTTTTCCTAATAAGATATTTTTGATTTGTAAATCATATTTCAGTTGCTAATCAGCAAGTTGTCAATCAGCAAGGAAATCAATAATGTATACGTTCTACACTAGGTTTTCTAGTTCCTTCATTAACTTGCTTGGGTTTTGGTTTAGAGTAGCAAAGTTGCCCAAATGCCCATTAGACTATTCCTTATAACAAGTCTAAGAATATCTTTATCTTCCTCAAGCTGAAGTGATAGGCATACACATGTATGTGTGGTATGATAGAATCACATGGTATCACATTGTCTATACCTCGCAGTGTTTATGATCTTTCTTACAGAAATATCTGTGAAATGTTACAGTTTGAAATTAAGTATAGAGATCTTGATTGTAGGGAATTTGATACGTATCTTTTTGTTTTACTTTTCCACACCTAAGAAGAACCTACTATTTCCTATTTGATATTAGCTATCATTTTTCTTAAAAATTCTTATTAAAAGTATGGTAGTTATATTTAAAAATTTTAACCTTTTTGTGAACTAAAAAAATATATGTATCCTAAACGAAGTTGTTTCATAAAAGATTTTAGTTTTATATTTTATTCTGTGTGGTCTTTGAAGTACCCTTCATAGTGGTTTTGAGATACTTATTCTAGCTCACCTATATGAAGTTTTAGTTTGCTGTGCACTGTCAGAAAATTTGGTATTTAATATTGTTTAAGGCTTCATTGTCAGTTTAAGGAACTGTTTATATTTGGAGATGAATTGCATAGACTTGTGCAGGTTTTTCCAACAAGAGTTATACTTTTGATAGAGTTTCCTATAACTGTTTAATACCTTAAACTTTAATTTTGTTTAGAGAAAAAGACTTGGAACTCACAGTTGCCGCTTCTGGAGTACAAGACCCTGAGAAATCGGTAAGGGTTTCTGGCATCTTTTAATATTTAAGCTTTCATTCAAATAAGCCTCAAATGTGGAACTATAAATCTACTTTGAAATAATAATAATAATAATAAATAATAAAATAATAAAATAATAATAATTAGTTTGAAATAATAAAATGAACTAAATTCAATTTTCATCATGTACAAATTTTAGCTGTTACCTATTGTTTATTTTCCTAAGATAAATTTTTCCTTTTTCATTTGTATGTAACTTTTTAGTTTGTTTTAAATTTGTCCTTTACTTTGATCACATGTACTTTGCCTTAGGAAAGTTATCTCACTTTAATTTACAATTGATGTTAATATATTTCTTCATTATGTCTTAATAATTTTTCTTACATGAGAATGATTTCCACAGAAACTGAAAACTTTGATTCTAGTCTTGTATTTTAGTAATTGTCATTTAATGTACAACTGGAGAGATAATTATCTTGTTTTTACTTTAATTTTGCAATTCTCATCATTAAGTGGAATGAATTACTCACATCATTGCAGTTAAGTAAGGAGGAGGTAACAATTTATTGCTCTTACCATAGTATACATTTTTTGGTAGTTGGCTCTGTAGTATTTATTAAGTTTTTGTTTCATTTTCAATGATGGTTATTATCTTGAATTTCATTAAAAAGTTCAGTCTTTAAAAAAGGATACAGAAAATTCTTAAAATTACACTTATTTTTAACTTTATTATTCACCTGTTAGTAACTTTTGGGTTATCTGTCTTAAAAAGTTTAATACTAGGACTGGGGTTTTAGCTCAGTGATGGAATGTGTGCTTAACATGTACGAGGTCCTGGGTTCAATCTCTAGTACCACCCCACCTCCAAAAAAAAGTTAAGTGGTGCATTAGTATCGCTCCCTATTTGCTTCTGACTGTTCATAGAATAAAACTTTTAGATGAACTTTAGGATAATTCTTGATAAAATACTTTAGGCAGAAAAAAGATAAATTCCAAAGCTAAATATTTTTTCTTCTATCAGTGAAATACCTTTGAAGTAGCTTTCACAATCAGAAACTTCCTTTTATAAACTCGAGCTTTTTAATGTAGTATTTTGGCATGTTAAATTTTGTAAAGTGTCACAGAGCTTTTTATTTATCTTTGAGTTGAAATTCCTAAAAAAGTGTCAAGCTCATTTATGAAAATAAATCGGTAAAAACAATAAACATTATTTTTAAGCTTACTTTTGATGTTTGAATCTTAGTAAAGGATATATAAATTATGTTTTAGAGTAAGGATAAGCAAACTGGCCTGTGGCCAAATCCACCTGCTACTTGTTTTTGTAAATAGATTTTTGTTGCAATATAGCTATCCTCATTCTTTATATATTGTTTATGGCTGCTTTAGCACTATGACTGAGTCGTAGTTGGAAAGAGGCTATATGGCCTTCAAAGGCTACTATATTTACTATCTCTTTACAGAAAATGTTTGCTTACTCTGTTCAACAGAATATTTTGATATTAGAAATGATAATTGAGTAGAAGAGTAGTATAGTGTTGTACTAGAGTAGAAAGAGTACTATATTTAAAATTAATACCTGGCCCTAGTTGTTGCTTGATTATTTGTTAATGGTAAAACTTTAGGTGGCTTATGTACTTCTCCAGGAGCCTCAGCTATACATTTATAAAATAAAAATTAGAGCTTTCAAACCCTTTATAGCTATAAAATTCTATTTTTCTATGCCTTTATGTTAAATACCTGATGGGATAAAAGGTCTTTTAAGGGCCCTTCTACCTTTAAGCTTATTTTATGTAACAAACAGATTTTTTTTTCTTTATTTTAGCCTGATAGACTAAAGCAGTTTAGTATGGCACCAAGACACTGTGAAGAGATGATACCACCTGAAAGACCCAGAGTAGCTTTCCAGACACCTCTCCCTCCTTTATCTGCCCCATCTGTCCCACCCATCCCATCAGTTCACTCCGCCCCTTCTCAAAATGAAGATTTGCACAGTGGACTCAACAGCACGCTTGGTGAAATGGTGCTTCCCAGGTGCATGTTTAAAATGTTTTGTGTTTGGGAATTAGGTAAAGTATTATTATATTTTATGTTTAGAAAGGTATCCTGAAGCAGAAGCTACTGTCCTTCAGAGATTTTGCATAATAGCTTTAACAAATAATTTCTCTTGAAATTTATTTTCATTGTTAGTCTTTTCATTGCTGTTATAAAAGCAAGAGAAATTCTTTTAACATTCTTTTACTGTTTAAATATAATTTATGTTTTTTGAATAAATTACTAAGTAAATTTCAGTATTTATTTTTAGATCAAAATTTCAATATCTTTTAACATAAAAGTTATGCATTGTTTCCAATTTTGTTATTTCCACTTGGCAAACATTGAATTCTTCCTTCAACTTATGCATAAAAAGTTACTAATATTATATTTTCATATGATTTTATTTCAGCTTCTGTTTCTGTTTATTCTTTTTCTCTGATTACACAGGGACTAAGCAACTCAAAAGCCTGGAATAAGAAGCATTGAGATTATAAAACCTGTAACTTAGATATTAAAGATATGATTTCTATAGGTAAAAGGCAACCTGTTATACTAGACTATACATAAAGAAAATCCTGTTAACACTGATATTTTCTCAATCTATACTTTGTTTTTGTAGGACTTGAACTTATTTTTTGCTTATTATTAATGTATTCATTATAAGAATGTATTTTAATCTATAAATGTTTTACTTAACTTTTAAAAACATTGATATTTCTGGGCTGCCTTTCTTTCAATAGGACTTGGTCCTTTATTTACTATTAACATATTGTAGTGTTGTTTATTGTATTTCTCAGGTGCTTTGTTTGATTTCTGTAATGGCTTCCCTACTCAAAAGATTGGGAGGGACTGGAATTACATGGGATTTATTGTAATTGTAATATTAGATTAGGGATTGAAATGGTTGGTTTTGCTGTCTGGAATTTGGGTTCTCTGTGCCTTTGTTGAACTTCACAATGGAATAGTAATATTTTTCTTGTTTGTAATTACAGGGTTGTTTTGAAGTTTAAATATTATACAAATCTATAAAATTTAGGATTTAAGGATGACTGCTTTTCAACTTCTTTGTTGATACATCGTTTTTTTCTTCAAAATTTTTAATTGATACAATATTTGTATATTCGATGTAGTGAAGAGTATGGCAGTTTAGGATATACACACAATGTGTACTGATGAGGGTAATTTTAATTTCCCCCAAACATTTATCATTGCATATAAATGGAAACTTTACATTCTTCTAGTTGGGTTTTTGTTGTTCTTTTTTTTGTGGTTTTGGGGCTTGAACTCAGGGCCTACACCTAAGCCACTCCACCGGCCCTTTTTTTGTGGTGGGTTTTTTTGAGATAGGTCTCATGAACTATTTGCCTGGGCTGTTTTGAACCGTGATCCTCCTGATTTCTGCCTCCCAAGTAGCTAGGATTACAGACATGAGCCACTGTGCTCTACTTCTTGTTGTTTTTCTTGGTGTATCTTTGAAGTGAGGATAGTAAGAATATGCATACTAAGTGACTCATAAATGTGAAAAAATATTCACTACTGAAGGGAACTCTATTGCCTTCTTAGCTTTTCAGAATCTAATTTAGAGTTTACAATAAGGGAGTGAGTATCTGTTAAGACACAGTCAAACGTGAAAATATCCTAGAATGCTCTTGTCTCCTTTTGTTTATTTAAAGTAGTTTGCCAGTTTTGTTATTGGAAAATACTGTATTGGTGGAAATGCAGAGCTATGTTCTAATCAGTAATGAAATGCTGAAGTAGGAGTTTTTATAAGTTTCAAAATTTAAAAAATATTAAACGTGAAGACTATACTGTTTTTTTTTTTTTTTTTTGGTGATATTCGGGTTTGAACTTAGGGCTTTGTGCTTGGTAGGCAGGCACCCTACCACTTGAGCCATGCCCAGCCCTTTTTTGCTTTAGTTATTTTTGAGATAGGGTCTCACTTTTTGCCCTAGCTGGCCTGGACCACCATCCTCCTATTTATGCTTCTTGAAGTAGCTAGGATGACAGGCACATAGCATTGCACCCAGCTATTAAAAACTTTTTGCCCTGGCTGGCCTCAAACTACAATCCTCATATTCTCTACCTCTTCAGTAGCCAGGATTACAGCCACAGGCATCTGGGTACTGTTGACTTTAAGTAATTTTTATTTCCCATTATGGTTAATTTCCTGTGAAAGAGCAATACATTTTACAGATTAAAAAATACAACCTTTTCCCCACAGTGAATCATTTATAATCATGCAGTTTTATAGGTTTTTGCTTTTCTTCCTGGACTGTCCTTCCTTTGTCTGTTACTAGTTCACACTAATAATTTGGCTCAAGTATTTCTTCCTCTGGAAAGTCTTCAAGCTTTCATCCTTTCTCTTATGAGATTTAAATGTTGGCTGCCCTGTATTCCTATAGTACTCTGCATGTTCTTGTTTTATTTCATTTACTATTCTTGGTTGTAATTGCTTATTTCTGATCTATTCCTTAGGGAGAGGGACCACATCTATTTTTGTTTGATACTGGCACACGATAACTATTGAATATTAATTGATTGAATGTTTACTTATTTTGTATGTGTTATACCCCAAACTGTGAAGTTTTATGCTGTATTTGCTTTTTGATTTATAATTTTTGAACAACAATTAGAATAAGATTGTGGCTTTTTCTAAACTAGCAATTAGAGTTTTAGTAATATTTTTTCAGAATATCTTGATTAAACAGTTTATAATGAAATACTACAAGAATTTTCTATTTTTCCTTTGATATAGGGTTGCACCTCTGCCTCCACCTCCCCTACTACCACCTTTGGCTACTAACTATCGAACTCCTTATGATGATGCATACTACTTTTATGGTACCAGAAACACTTTGGATCCCAGTCTTGCTTATTGTAAGTATCTGTAGGGTAATCACCTTTTTCTAGTGGTTTAATATGAACACTTGGTTTCATACTAGCAAAAATATGTTTTCAATATATTTAAAAAGTTTTATTTAAGTATTATATACTTAATGACTTAATAAACTCAGTACGGTATCAGTGTGTTTTTGTTACAATAACAATACCTATTCTATAAAGAATGCAGAATTTTCTTAGGTCACAGTTTTGGAAGCCTACAGCCCAACTAACATATATAGGCTCTGGGCTGCATGACATCATGGCTAGAGCCTGTGTGTACCTCTGTGTAATCTCTGTCACTCTCCTTATAAAGCCATCAGAATGTAATCATTGGGCTTGAATCTTAATAAACATAATTTACTGTAATCACTTCTTAAAGGCTCCATCTCTAAATTCTGTAGTCAGAATAAGTTTGTTCTCTTAAATCTGTTAATGTAAGACTTTGTGTGTTTAACTCCTGTGTAAGTTCTGGGGAACAAACCATATTTAAACCATAGCAAAACCCAGCTATAGGGTGAGGCAGAAGGATCACGAATTTGAGGTCAACATGGGCTACATAGCAAGTTCTTGGCCAGCCTGGACTACATAAAGAGACCCTGCTAAAATGAAACAAAATCACAGAGGTTATATTTCATTGTATTTCCTTTTCATTTAGAGTTAAGAAACAACTATTTTGTATATTCTTGTGATGTTCTTTGCTAACTGTTATCCTAGAAGTTTATATTGATGCTTTTCTTGAGGAAACATTTTCATCCTGTGCTGTTTTTCTTTAGAATAAAGTGTCATTAAATGGGTATGCTGAAATAAGTTTTTTTTTCCTTTTAAGATGGTTCAGGAATGATGGGAGTACAGCCTGCAGCTTATGTTAGTGCCCCTCTCAGCCACCATCCAGCACAACCTAGTGTGTAAGTCATTAGTTAAAAAGATTTTTAAAAAGTTTTATAACCTACTTTTTAAATTGTGTTAAAATATGTGTAACAAAATTTTCTACCATAATAATTTTTAAGTGTACTGTTCTAGGGGTATTTAATGCATTCATAATGTTATATAGCCATTTCCCAAACTCTTTTCATCTTGTAATCTGAAACTCTTCTTATTAAGCTCTAGTGGTATAACTCCCCCATTTCCCTTCCCTCATGTTCTGTCTCTGTGATTTTGACTATTCTATAAATACCTTACAGAGTAAGCAGACAGTTTTTGTCTTTCTGTGACTGGCTTACTTTACTTAGCATAGTATCTTAATTTTTCAACTGTGTTATAACATGCTTCAGGATTTCTTTAAAAATGAATTATATATGTATTTTATGTAAATACTATAAATTATGCTTATTCATTCATCCACTGATAGACACTTGAGTTGCTTCAACATTTTAGCTGTTATGAATAATGCTGTATTAGCATGAGTGTGCAGATATCTCTCTAAGGTGCTGTTTTCAGTACTTTGTGTATATCCACAAATGAAATTGCTAGGTTCATTTGGTAATTTTTTTAAAAACATTTTTTGAGGAACTGCTATTCTGTTTTCTACAGTGGCTGTACCATTTTGCATTCTGCTGACAGGCCACAGGGATTCCATTGTCTTCACAGCCTTGCCAGCACTTGATATTTTTCTGTTATTTTGGGATTGGATCTAGGTCCTCTCAAATGCTAAGCAAGCACAGCTCCAGCTCTCATTTTAGTTTGATTTGCATTTGTGTTATGATTAATGATATTGAACATCTTTTCATGCTTATTGGCTATTTATGTATCTTCTTTGAAGAAATGTTTATTCACATCCTTTGCTAATTTTTAATCAGATTATTTGTGGGTTTTTTTGTTGTTAAATTGTAGTTCTTTATTTTATACTCTGGATATTAAGACTTTCTTAGGTATATGATTTGCAAATATTTTCTTACACTTTGTGGATCACTTTGTTTTACTATGTTGATGTTTTGTCTTTTGAATGTGCTTTTTTTTTTTTCTGGTACTGGGGTTTGACTCAGGGCCTCACACTTGCTAGGCAGGTGCTCTACCACTTGAGACATTCCACCATCCCTTTCAAGATATTATAATTGCACAAAATTAAAAAAAAATTTTGAAGTTCAGTTTGTCCTTTTTTTATTGCTTTTGTCTGTGCCTGTTGTTGGTGTCATATCTAAGAAATCATTGCCAAATCCAATGTTGGGAAGATTTTCCCTGTGTTTTCTTCTACATGTTTTTATTTTAGTTCTTACTTTATATTCTTTTACTAATTTTGAGTTTTTTGTATATGGTTTTTATATTATTTAGAGAACATTTTAATATATATTTTCAGATATATATTTAAAATTAAAAATTAATTCAAGCCATGTTCGGGCAAAAGAAGAAAAAGGAAGAATTTAAAGTGAGACCACTTCTGTTCTGGTCTCTAGAATCACAGTCAGCTTATTATAACTTTTATTTTGGAAGAAAAGATGTAAACGTTTCTTTCAACCTTCAAAAGGCAAGTGTAGCCACTTATAACAACAGAATGGCAGGAATAGAGTAGGGAAGGAAAGAGATGAAAAGGCTGAGAGGGAAATGACTTCACAACTAAAATTAACAATATTACTGTTCCAGAAAGGGACTGTGAAAAGGATATGGTGGACTGAAATCTTTTTGTCAAGTAATGATTCAATTTTTAAGTTATTCTCTTATTCTTTTTTAGGGGTATGGGTGGGTGGGGGGGTTGTTAAGTCTAATTTGGAAATGTTGACCCTTTGTTAATAAGAGTCAACAGGAAATACAGGATCCTTTCCTTCCCTGGCCTGCCTCCACTGAAGCTACCTCCACCACCTTCCTGACTGGATGCTAGAAGAATCCTCTGTGTGTACAGACTCAGCATGACAGGACAGCCTCATTTTGTGATTGTTGGGATTGTTTATGTGGAATATCTCTAAAATGTTTTTCAGCTGTTTTGCAAACATGGCTCAGTACACTCCCCTCTTTGCCTTTACAGGGGTATAATAACAACTTCTTCCATGACTATAATATTTTTAAATTTTTCTTGCCATTTGCAGTCTTTAATGGTTTTGTGAATGGTCCGGAAGAACTGCTGGCTCTTAAGGGAGACATCAGTGCTGATTGTACATGCCTGGCTCAGCTGCTTCTCCTTTACTGTTTTGCTCTTTGCTGCCAAGCTTACTAACATTGAATGAAGTTAGGGAAAGAAGGGTTTCTGTTCAGTCATTAATTATTTCTACTTCTGAAATCCAAGTTTAGAAATATTGTATCTTATCTTTAGTAAGTGTTCAAGTTCATTCTTTTATATGTAGCTATCTAGTTTTCACAGTAGCATTTGTTGACGAGACCATTCTTTGCCCTGTTGAGTGGTTATAGCCCCCTTGTGAAAATTATTTGACTATGTATATGAAGGTTTATTTCTGGGCTCTCTATTCTTTTCTCTTGGTCTATATGTCTGTTTTCATTCCAGTACATTTGTTTTTCATTACTGTAGCTTTCACAGTTTTGAAATCAGGAACTATGTGTCTTCCAGCTTTGGTTTTCTTTTACAATATTGTAAAATTTGGGACTCCAAATTTGGCTATTTGGCATCCCTTGAGACTCCATATGAATTTTAGGATGCGTTTTTCTATTTCTGTGAAAAAGGTCATTGGGATCTTGATAGGGACTTGTATTGAATCTGTAGATTGCTTTGAATAGTATTGACAGTTTAATGATTACTGCCTTCTGATCCATTAACATGAGCTGAGGCTCCAGTTTTTCATGTCTTTAATTTCTTTCTGCAATATTTTATATCTTCCCTAATTTCTTTATGCAGTGTTTTGTAGTTTTCATTGTACTGGTCTTTAACTTCTTTGGCTAATTTTTAAATGGTTTTGTTCTTTTTGATGATTTGTAAATGGAATTATTTTTAAATCATCCATTGTTAGTGTATAGACGTGCAGCTGACTTTTGTGTATTGACTTGTACCTGCTGCTTTTGCTGAATTCATTTTTGTGTGTATGGGGTCGAGGGGATAGATCTTAGGGTTGTCTACATATAAGATCATTCATCTATGAACAGAGATGATTTGACTTCTTCCTTTCCAGTTTGGATGCTTTTATTTTTCTTGTTGAATTACTTTGACTTGAAATTCTAGTATTGTTTTGAACAGAAGTGGCAAAAGCAGGCATTCTTGGCCTTGTTTGCTTAGAGGACAGTTTTTCATCATTGAATGTTATATTTGCTATGGTTTCTTTCATATATGGCTATAATTATGTTGAGGTAGTTTCTATTTCCAGTTTGTTAAATTTTGTCAGGCAATTTCTCTGCATCAATCGAAATGGTCATAATAGTGTTTTTCCTTCATTCTGTTAATGTGATACATACACTGATTTACTTTTATATCATCAGTTTTTGTGTCCTAGGAATAAATCTCTCTTGGTTGTGATGTATAATCATTTTAATATGCTGCTGAATTTGATTTCCCAGTATTTTGTGGAAGAATTTTATGTCATTTTTTAAATAAGGGTTATTGTTGTATGTTTCTCTTTTCTTGGTGTCTTTGTCTGGCTTTGGTGTCAGGGTAATGCTGTCTTCATTGAATGTTTCCTCCTTTCAATTTTTTGGAAAGTTTGAGGAGGATTGATGTTAGTTCTTTAAATATTTTAGGTTGATCTATTTAAACCCAGTATTTTGAGGATTGGTCCTCAGTGAAAGGATGGATTAGAATGGTCATCCAGCCAGGCACTGGTGGCTGATGCCTGTAATCCTAGCTACTCAGGAGGCAGAGATCAGGAGGATTGCTGTTCAAAGCCCATCACAAACAAGGTGTAGGCCCTGAGTTCAAACCTCAGTACCACAAAAAAAAAAAAAGATCATCTATCAATAGAGGATGGCAGGGAAGTTCATTTATACTCCTTGCATAAAAAAAGTTTCCACTGATAATGTGAAGCCCCTAGTGCTGGGTCTCCATTTTGTGTTTGAATTTAAACCCTGCCTACATAGGCTAGAAGCCTTCAACCTGAGAAATTAACGTCAGACACCAGCCCCCCCCCAAAACACACCTCTGAGGTTTTTTTTTGTTCAGTTTTTTCTTGTTGCCAGTGATTGTACATGCTAAACATTCTGTCTGCCACTGAGCTTCATCCCCAACCCTGTTCATATCTATATAGCTATATTTCTGTGTTTGTCTGTCTTATCTATCTGTCTGTCTTTCTGTCTATCTGTCTATCTATCTATCTATCTGTCTATCTATGTGTTTTGCCCCTAGTAAAAAAGTATTTTGCTACTGTAGCCCAGGTGCCTCAAACTTGGAATCTTTCTTTAGCCTCCAGAGTGCAGGGAATATAGTCATTTGCTACTACTGCTGTCCAGAGACTTGATTTCTAATTCAGTTTACTATGTAGTTGCAGGTCTATTCAGATTTTCTTTTTCTTTGTGGTTTAGTTTGTGCAGGTTTTGTGTTTCTAGTAATTTGTCCATTTTATGTAGTTCATGCAGTGTTCAATTTATGTCATTTGATTATCCATGGTATTACCTTTCAATCCTTTCTACTTTTATAACATTAGTAGTTGTACCCTTTCTTTTATTTTTTATTTTAATAGAAGAAGACTGAGAGTCTCTCTTTGATCAGTCTGTTTATGAGCTAGAAGACATTTTTCACAATGTGAGCAGGAAGGATTGAAAGTTACACCATGTGTCCCTGGATGGGCTTGAACCACCAACCTTTCGGTTAACAGCCAAAAGTGCTAACTGATTGTGCCACAGAGGCTCAGATTAGTCTGTTTATTTGTTTCTTTCTTTATGCTGGAAATCAAACCCAGGACTTCCTACATGTTAGTAAATGCTTTACCACTGAGCTGCAACCTTAGCATCTGGTCCATCTAATTAATCATTTGTCAACCTTGTAGATCTTTGTAAAGATCAGACTATTAGTTTCAATGATCTTCTCTGTTGTTTTTCT